CACTAAAAGTTTATACAGAGGATTCCTAAAAATACTGACACACCACTTTAAAAACACAATATGTGATATAAATTTAAATATTTCAGATATAGAAAAATAAAAAAACATAGTTTTTCAAGTATAAAGGGTTCAATTAAGTAATTTTTAATAAAACAATTCTACCATGAACAGTTAATTGTCTCCCTCTTGTGGTAACAATGAGGAACTACAACTGTTTGTGATCAGTAAGAATCAAGAATAGTTTTTTGTCAACAGTGATCCAAAATCATAACGTCAGGATAAGGTATATAAGGAATTTATTTCTTAATCCTTTTTTAAGCAAATATATCTATAATAAGTATATCTAAAATAAATATAAAATAATATTAAAAATTACAAATATACACTTATGGCCATTTTCCTTCAATATAGGCATTTTTATATCTGATTGGATTAGCAACATTTTGGTTTATAACACCTTAGAGCTATTAATTCAACTCTAATTGAATTATTGATAAAAAGACACAAGAAAATAAATGTACATAGACTGAATTTAGAAAAACCAAGAGAAGAGACGCAGTAAAAAAGTTTTCATATTTGTTAATGTAGAGAAATATCTATATAAAAAGAGTTCTATGCACATTTAAATATTTATCCTCTATATATGTTAACTCATTAGTGATACAAAAACTTCAGTGTAATAAATTTAAATAAACAAATTCTACTAGGAAAAGTTTCTCTTCGCCCTCTTGTGGAGACAAGTTGAAATTACAACTGTGCGCACAATAAACTAAAAGTCTAGATAATAAAGAAGATTCCTGAAAATATCATGACACCGCATGAAAAACACAGTATTTGATATAAATGCAAATATTACACCGAAAGGCTTGAATTAAATTATCATAAACAAATACTACCAAGAACTGTTTATTGTCGCCCTCTTGTGGTGTTGGTGGGAAATACAGCTACTTGCGACGACTACCATGAGGCTGATCAACCATTCCAAACATATGTTTGTGGTGTAACCTTCAATACATTACAGCGATAGAAAGTAAAATATCTAATATAAGGGCTTCAATTAAAAAATGGAAAAAAGTCTACCTTCTTGACAACAAGTAACTACAACTGTAGTAAGAATTCCAACTGTTTCATTTTCATCGTTAAGGTAGCTTAGAGGAGGTTTCTTATACCTGATCGGCTTCTGCTAGAATCCACAGCAGAAAGCCAATGACAGCAGGATAGAGCATGGAGTTTGTGTAGAAACCCAGCCAAGCGAAGTACATGCCAATCTTCACTCCAAAGTAGTCACAGATGTCATCTAGAAAGTAGAAGACATGACATGATGCGTAATTGACATTTATGCACTATTTTTGCACGCCACATATCACTTTACTTGGAT